GATTCAAATTTAAAGATATTTAAACAATTTATTTACGATAATTTATTCGATATTTATTACCTATATTATATTATATTATTATTTATTTTATATACGATGCAATTAGTAAATTTGACAACGTTGCATACAATTTCATACGCAATCGTCGCAATCGTGTTTATTTTTTTTTTTCAGAAAGGTACTTTTAACCCATCTACAAACATACGCAATCGTGTTGTCAAAAAGGTCGAACGTACGCAATCGTGTTTTACTCATTTGAACTACCAGTTTTAATTTCATTCGGCTCTACTGAGTCCAGTATTGTCCTCAACGATCTCTGTGCCCATTCTTAATGCCCATTAATTAATCTAGTTATCAATTCAAAACTATGTATAATACCTAAATTATCGACCTAATGCTTTCTTTTGTACTATTTACTTATGTTTGCAGCTAAATATTTTTTTACACTGGTTTTGCTGTTGAAAGTGTTCAAAAAGATGACAGACATTTTAAATAATACTATACATTCTTATAATCTTACAGAAGACAGAAGACAGAAATATTGACATCGTTAATTTTCACGTTATACGTTAGAAGGCCTGCTGTCGTTAAGTTATGAAGGTCAAAAAAAAGGCAACCAACAATTCAATTATTAACCACACCTCAAAAACTTATTGTGACACAGTTACGTATTTTACGGAATACATAACATTATTATGAGGGATTAACTACGTTAGGTTATTTATAATTCACGAGTAGGTATCACCTACCTATATAATAAATATTAAATACAATAAGTTAATATATGTGTTCACTGTTCAATTGTATATTTTGTTGTTTCTATTTTCTCACCCAAAGATTAAAAAACTATATAGACTTGTACCTATTATGTGATTACTAATTACTATATATATATATATTAATATACAATTAGGGTTAATTATTAATTGGGTTATATACATTTTAGATTCTGAGTGGAACGATGAATGCATTGATTTTTTAATGATATCTATGTGTTTTCTTTTATTTTTTATTTTTTTTTTTATTTTTAATTTTTAAATTTCATGACGGTTTAGGGTAGTAAAACTATTTCGATTTTCTTCAACAGTATCTTGTTCGATGGGAAAGTGAATCTAGTTGGTGCTTTGGGAGGTCAAATTCTAAAATTCCAAATAGTTATCAAAAGCGACGGGAAAAACAACATAAAAATTAAGGAAAAACGGGAATTTTTAAGCAAAATCGCTTTTCCAAAAAATCGATTTTGGTTTTTGGTGTAACTCTAAAACAAATGAATGTATATGCATGAAATTTCCACTGATTTTTTATATTTTCATTTTCTATACACTATAAATTTTCTATAAATATCAATAAATTTTTATTTGTTGGGTAAAAAAGCATGAAAATTTATTGCTAGGGCCCTGATATATTATTACAATAGCAGTTGAAAAATATTAAAAATACATAAACACGATTTTTTTTATAAACATTTAAAGTTCGAATTTTGACAAAATTTATCAAATTTAAAATGTAATAATTAATTTGTAGTTAAAAATTTATAAAATGTTCAACTTTCATAGCTAAAGATTGAAAATTTAAAACAAGGTTCCACGAGAAAGGTAAATATATAAATTACTTTAGTCACAATAATATCATAAAATATACATAGGAATATCATAGACTGACTGACAGTTTTCGCTCAGAATCGTTTTTCTTATATACAATGATATTATATCATTGAATTCAAATTTAACACCATCGTCACCATCCATTACAGCGACCCACTTGTAACCTACTGTACAGCAGAGCGACTTTTTTATTTTTATTTGCATGTGAAAGGTAATAGGTACATATAGGTAGTAGGTACATACCTAATCGGATAATGTGTATACAACCCATGCAGGACTCAATACTCAAATGTACACTATGGAAGGCTGTAGATAACCTGAGATAAACATAACTAACCCAACCTTTTGAATCTTATTGATTTTTTTTTTTATAAATTATTTGTTTAAAAACGATTTTAGCGAAGTAACTTGAGAAGCAATGTTGCTCGGACGAGCATTATTGGTTATAACTTGCATTTATATTATCATTTATCATTGATCTATGTAATATTATGTATGCGGTAAATTAATGTAAAAGAATGAAATACATACCAAGTTCAATTATTGCGTTTATGTAATACACAGATACACTTATATACATATAGGTACACTAATACGTATATTAGGCAGTATAGGTACCTACTCGCATACTCCTAACGATAATTAACGACTAGATACATATTACAGCCGTATAGATACTACCATACTGTACCATACACATGCGAGATGCGACTCATATGGTATAAAACTATGAACAATATAGGTTTGGGACTTAAGCGATTACATTTAAGGCTATATTTGGATGTAGTAAAAATAGTAGACGTAATGTACGTTTTAAAAAGATCTTAACTGTCCTAACTGCGGGGATTTTCTGTACTAAATTTAATTTTGCAAATTCTAAGGAATGAGGATCTCGTTATATATGGACAATATTATGACGTTTCTTCACATTTACTCCCGTGATATATCGCATAGTTATAGTTTTTAAAAATATAACTGGTTTAATATTAATTGATAGATTAGAAAGATTCCTCTACGGCGTGCAGATTATATTAAGTCTCAAATATAAATATCTGAACGCACAGTAAAAAATGTTTTCTAAGTTTTTAATTAATTTTAAATGAATATTATTTCCAATTTTTTTTTATTTTATCATGTGTCCGCGAAAACGGGGGTATACTGTACAATTAAATTACCCGTATTACTCAGTAAGTACCTAACCTATGTCCCTAACTCCCTAACCATATTTTTGAATTACGTTGGCGGGACTAACGGATTATCAGTCTCCCGCAGAAAGAATTCTAAAATATGTATAGGGTATTGAGTAAGTAACGTAGTTATGGAGTGTACCCTGTTGGCTGTTGTCGTGGCCGGGTTATATGCGTATATTATGAAGTGTATGCGTAGCGGTGTAGTGTGTACTTAATATAATATTGTTACTCAAGTTATTGTTATTATTTTTTGTTTGAAATACATACATATTATTGTTACTCAAACGGTTTTTTATTTTCAAAAATCTGTCATTTTTTCCCAAACCTCACTATATAGTCCTCCGGGCCTATAAAATATCTATGCTTCTGTATACATTATTAATAAACGTACAAACAAACAATAATCAGATGTCAGACATGTTTAAACAAGTTATTATACAATTCACATGTCACATGTGGTATAACATTATATTATTTTTTCAATTTAAAACATATTATATAGAATATATTGCAACACGGATTCCGTAGTTGTAAGGAGCGTATAATTTCGAGCATTTTCCATGGAAAGCGCAGAATTTCTTCTCGCAGAATTTCTTTGGGTAGGTAGTAGGTACCTACGGGCTATGGGTATTGGCGAGGAGTTTTACTAAAACGAAAGTTTCACGCTGACAAAACGTTCGGTTTCCACGATCACGGTACAAAATACAAGACTGTACGGTGTATAAAACGACACTGCTATAATAGTGAAAACAAAGACGCGCGCAATAATGCGTTTAAATTATATCATATTATACTGATAGATATACCTTATACTGTGCATGTATATTGTATATATATAGGTACGAGTCGACGAGGCGTGTGCCGGGCTGCAGGTTTTTTTTACGCCTACTCCGCCAACCGGTAGGATAATAATATTATACACTTTCACTCACGGTTACAACACATATTATATTATTATAAATTATAATATTATAGAGATTTTTTACGTACACACATATTATATTTTAATAAATTGCGATCGGACGAGCGACGGAAAATGAATTCCATCTGTCGAGAAAATTATACTTAAGCATACATAGGCACAAGTAATTCATACTTGTCAAATATACTTTTTTATTCATTTCCAGTAGCGTATACATAATTTTTGTACGGGGGGAGGGGTCAGAAAAAAATTTAAACTTTTGACCTAGGTATCTGCACATTGAAACAATAGATATCAAAATATAGGTAATATATAATATAATTAGGTACAATAATGTCTATAAGTATAAGTAGTATAAGTATTTAAATTTAAGTACAAAATTAATTAATAGTAAATTCAAGTATTATTAGGTATATTATATTATTATTACATATAAAATATTATAAAGATCCTCATATTATTCAAGTATAGTAAGAACATTTTTTATGTTATTACTACGGCATATTAGTATATGTTTTAGTGGTTAGAAGACCTTTCAAAAAGTTGAAATGACGACCCTGAAATAAACAATTATAGTTCACAAATTATTTAATTTTTTTTAATGTTTCCTTGTATCTAACACGCTAACACTAAGAACACTATTTTATAAAACTTTAAAAAAAGGCCATTGAGGGGATCTGACCCCCCACGTCCCCTCTTGTATACGCACCAGTGTATTTTGATCAGGTAGGCTAATAGGAACCTACGTAGAAATTGAACCTTCGTGGAGCACTCCACGGTACTGCAATATGACTATATGTCTATATGTTATACGATATACCTACGTACGTTTTTGTATGAATATTGAATATAAAATATGTTGTCAATTCAACGAAGCTGGCAAAGACAATACAGATAATATATTGTCGGCATAGAATTTATACCGTAAAAGTTTATACCTGACCTTTTTTCCACTATTTTGTATATTATCTACTTTTAATACAAAATTACGAATCAATAGAACCTATCTAAAAACTTTACAAGTGTGATTGTAATATTATACAGACATACCCGTATGTATGCCAACGGCCAACCTGCACCATGATACCGGTAAGTATAATATTTTTATAGGACGTACCATTACCTACCTATAGCGTCTAGTGCCGTCTACCTGCTGCTAAGGTATTATAATATGTAATATGCTTAGTGTACCTATATCATATATTTTATGTTATAAAAAATAATCGGACTGCGACGACGATGTCTGTTCGTAGTATTGTTATATTATGAACATATTATATTTACCCAAGGCCTGCGTGTCGTCCTTGAGCTCCACCAACACTCTGCCGCTGAGAAACTGACCCGGGAAATACAACAGGTTGGTGTTGTCGAACAGCACGACGAATTTCTCGAGTTTTCTGGACATGATGACTGTCAGATAGGTATATTTTATATATCTACCTAGGAACGTCCGGCGATGGCAAAATAAAAATTCTCGTCGGCGGTGATATAATTATTTTTGTGTATCGCTATAGAAAATTAAATTATTTTAAGTTTTATATTATTATTGTTGTCGCCTAAATAATAACAACGGCTTTTATGTTACGATATTATAATATAGACGAGTTATAATAATATTATGATTTATGAGTTTTTATGACCATAGCGCGAACGAAGAGCAACCGCCGACGCGCGCACGTCGTCCTCCGAGCACCGTAACGCGTTCACTATTTTTATTATTATTATTTTTACTGGATGGAGGCGCGTATCGTTCACGACCATTATAATAATACGCGTTGCAAGGTACTGAAGTATATTGTCTGCAAACCGACTGCGACGACGCGCCGCGCCGCGGCCTAGGACCGGTCCGTCCCCGCGACACCTGACCGTCGTCGATTATACGGAGTGATTCACCAAACATGCCGACATGACGTAATGTGCTCAAGCGTCCTTTTATAACTTTGTAATTAAATTTATTAAATTTCTGAATTTTGAAATTTTTGAAGTACCTACACTTAAGACCATATATTTTTAAAGATACATTTTTTTTACCGCTTATGTGGTATATTTATATTTCAATGATAAATGTATATTCAAATTCTCTTTTTGAAATGTTTAACTTGTTTATGTATACCTACTTAAAAATCATATTTTCAATTATTTTTAATTTTTACACCTGCCATTAAGGAGTTCCAAACGGTAGGTATAATCCGTTCAGGAATTCTGTGGCGGAACCATGAACGTATCCTGGGGCGGGGGATCCCCATGACCTTTTTTTATACAAAATATTAGTGCGAGCCACTGCGAGGGCTACACCCTGCGATTTATCTCAGAAATAATGAATATAATATTATATTCCCCCTCCCCGAAGAAAATTCTTGTCTACGCCACTGGGCGGTACAGATGACTGCTTTTTTTCGAATGAGAACCACCCTTTTTTATTGTACTTTTTATATTAAAGAGATTTTTTTTTGAAAATGTTGATGCATTATTGAAATTCAAACGATTAGTTTCTGAGTTAGAAATTTTAAATACTATAAGAATAATAATATCAATGATAATAGGTTTAGAAGATAAGGGAGTTATTATTAAATTTTCTAATCCTTAAATAGTGTCAGTATAATATATTATATAATATTTAATGAAACACAAGTGTTTCCACCAGCCGTCCCAACCTTTCAAACAACAAAAAAACAACTAATGGCCATAGTTGCCACTCTCAATAAAAACAAAAAAAAAAAGAAATGTAAAGAATTATAACTAATAAATTTAGTGGACTAAATATTCTATCTTTATACTATTTTATGTCATCGTTTTAAATTGTCCTTTGCGGGTATGTAGTAGGTACGTAAAGTTTAATAACTCTAAAAGAAATCTTTCGAATTTCTATTTAGATGAGTCAACATTTTCAAAAAAATCCTACACTAATAAAGGCCGTCGGCTCTGATTTAAAAATAATAAGTTTTTGTATCGCTTAAGGATACTCCTTATAGGTATATGGTATAAAAAATATATGTATTTTTAATACATGGAAATATTTTGATTTAGGTACTTAAATATAAAGTGGAGGTAAGCCATTAAACATGCTCGATATTCACCCTGTATATAGACATATAGTAGGTAGGTGGTTATAGTCTATACTCTATAGGTTATAACCTGCATGTGTGTTATATACCAACCTGAAGTATTGTAGCTGTTGCAACTGCTACAATCGACTCAAGAGTCAGGAACTCCGGTCTATAGAGGTATAATTACTTATAAGTTGACCTGACTGTTGTTGGGATTTTTCAATTTTTAGAGCATTTTATTTACTAGATTATTTTGTAGAATGTGTGAAACAAAACCAGATCAACGTTTGGTAGGTAGGCTGGTGCTTAATAATAATTTACAGAGTTTTTACAGAATTTTTAATGATTTGAATACGTATTTTGAGGGGAGTTTGTAATTTGCACCAAAATAAGTTTATGTAATTTTCACCACCCTCAGGTAGTAAGAAATAGGAATGGTAATTTGCACCAAAATCAAAATCGATTATTTTTTCGATAGTATCTCGATAGAACTAACTTACAAGTTTCTATTCCCTAATATAAATTTAGCTTAGTTTTTATTTATAAAATGGCTGAGCAATACACATATTGTTGTAAGTTTATATAAAATCGTATTACTATGAATATAAAAAAATTTTAATTTTAAAATATTTAAAATTTTTTAGTTTCACATATAATTATTTTAATTGGTTAAATTATATTTATAATAATATGATTTTATATAAACTTACAACAGTTAGTGTATAAGCTCTGCCATTTTATATATAATATATATAAATTAATTTTACAAATTGTGTACACATTCAACTAACAAAATTATAACTAGACAACTAGCTTTGCTATTGCTAGGTTTTTGTGATTGTTCAATTCCTTTTGGGTACACGCTGTGGAAGCAATGTATTTTTAAGTGTTCATTATATTACATTTTAATTTTCTAGCCATCCCGATTCCCGACCTGCGTTTTCCGTGAGATTCGCTTGTGATTATGCAAATGCAAGCACTATTTTCTCAGGTAGGCAATCTACCTGTGATATATCGCGGACCCTGCGTGGTTCGTCAGTAAGTAAATAATTAAATAATTCTAAAGTTAAAAAAATTGCAAAAAATTATTCAACCGAAACCGTGGTTCGAATTGTGTATTAAAATACACAGGCTTATAATTATTAAAACCAATAGCAATACTTTTATAATCAAAAAAAGTAAATCAATATATATTATATACTATATAAATAAATTATATTATTACGATACTAATATTGTCGAGTAAATACTTACCCTTGAATCTCTATGGCCAGATTTATTTTTGAAGGCTACAAAAAACATCAAATGTTATCGTATTATTACGAAAGTTGTAAAGGTATACCTAATTTTAAATTTGACAACGTTGGAGCCTAATTATTAATGTACGCAATAATCGTGTTCCCAAAAAATCTTAATCACATACACAACCGTAACCGTGTGGGTTCAGGCCGAATATGTACCACCTATAGGTAGGCCCTATTTATCTATCGAATTTAATAATAATTATTAAATTATGCCTTTATTGGTCGGTTTTCATCGCGGAACTAGTTTCATAAAAAATAAATAAAAGGTAAGTTATCCCGCTTCCAAAACGCTATACTCAGTCTGCACCGCCTACGGGACGACTAAAAAGTATCTACCAAATGTATTATACTACGATTGTTTATACGATACACATGTATACAAACCGTGGTTTCATGTATGTTGTGTGTGGGATTTGGTAACAGATCACACAGTTGTAAACGACCTAAAATGGTGTTCTTTAATAATTCATACATACTAAATATATATTATGATAGAATTTATATTATACTTGTAAATATGTTATTTTTCTCGGAATTATGTGTGTTTACTCTTATTGCGTTCATTATGTAGACTTTTATAACCATAAATATAGGGCCGGGGCTTTAAATGCCGAGAGAATAAAATGAATTATATACCTATACTTACATGGGCAACACCGCAATACGAGCATATATGGATTCACGAGTCGATACCAATGTATATACAATATACCTATAATATGATTGGTATAGGTAAGTAATAATAATATTATATGAGATTGGTATTTGGTCTCTTGCGAATATTCTTCTTTTTTTTTTTATCCGTTATCGAATTTATCTCATTTTCCGACGAAAATATTATACATCGGTGTAGATATACCTACCCTACGTCCTACACTACTTATAATAATCGTCACATCCTCGACAGTTTTTTACTATACACATCGGCGACATGTACTGAATTGTACTGAGCGTTCCTATACGTGATGCACATATTTGATCAGCTTATATTATTATAAGTATATCTGTTACAATAATAAAAAATACTCTGCTGCGGCCTAACGCGTATATATAGGTAATATTATATTATTATACCTATAACCTATTGTATGTGAATACTAATTCGTCTTCAAATCGTCTACAACACGGTGTATAGGACGTAGGTACTGAAAAAATATCTCTATGACATTGATAAAAATCGTAGGTGGTTCAACAAAAAAGTGGTTAGCTGTATGCATCCAACAGAATATTTTTTACAATAAATGTAAAAAGAAATTACTGTTTATGAAAACGTAACAATGATATTGTTGATACTTATAGTTGTATTTATATAGGTACAATTATTAAACTCGGTGTCGTTTTTACCATAATAAAAATAACTTTAAAATAAGCACTAGATATATTATAAAATTGCTAATACAACTATTTAAATGGTTTATATGTAGACATGTAGTGTTATACTGTTATACTAATTATTTTCACAATAAACAATCTATTTGTCAAACAAAAATTAAAATAGAAGAGTTGATAAATAGGTTTTTCTTAAATTTATAAAACATATTATTGATTCACTAACCCTCTTATCGGTTATTTGCCTTTATATAATGACTTCTTTGCAAGTAAGTATTAAATGAGTGGTCATGGAGCATTGTGCTCTCCATCAACCTATAGGTGGAACTTTGGGGAGGTGAAACGGGGTGAATAAAAACAATGGTGTGATTAGAAACAAAATCAGGAAATTATTTCTTCGACTTCTCCACGAAATCAATATTAATTTAATTGTTTATTTAACGCCAATCGGCAATTCAAGAGATTTACAATATAAGTTGTATACAAAAAAAAATATATGGTATTAATTTAGTAAAAATAGTGATAAAGTAATCTTATAGAAAAATCAAAGGTGAAACATAGTAATTTATAGTGCAATCAACTAAATATTTAGTACAAATAAAAACATTATATTATAATACAACTAAAAACTAAATAACTTAAGTTAATATATAAATTTAAAATATCATTATGTATAAGTTATTGAGTAGGCGAAGCATTCTATGTAAAGGATGTCTATGCGAGTA